TGTTTCGTATATAAAATTATGATAAGATAGGATAAAATGATATTATAAATATTATTAAATTAAATAATATCATCATAACTTATGTTTGATGTGCATAAAAATTAAAATAAGATAATTTATTTATTAATTAAAATTATATTTTAATAATTCATGTAATTACACGTGTTAAACATAACACAAGACACAACAAGGAAACACAAATTGCCAGGTCCACTTACAAATATATGGAGTATTGTATATATCAAATTAAGGATATGTTTTGTACATAAAATTATAATAAGATATGATAAAATGATATTATAAATAGCATTAAATTAAATAATGTCATCCTAACTTGTGTTGACGTGTATAAAGATTATGATAAGATAATTTATTTATTAGTCAAAATTATCTTTTCTTAAATTTTATATAATTTAAATTATTGATATAATTTTTAAAAGTATAATAAAATATGTAAATTTAATCCAATGAATTAAAAATAATCTTCTCCACTTTTGGGAGAATTGAGTTATTCTATATCAAGAATATGATTAATCTTCATTGTAATCATATTTCTTTTTTTAGATATAAACCAAACATACTATAAAATAGTTATTATACTATCCTATCCATCATCATATGTAACAAATATGATGTAAATATACTTCTTTATATAAACAACTAGCTGGCTACTTATGCGATATATTAATTATTTTTATTTTATTTAAATTTAAATAAAAATATAAATTAATATTTTTGAATTATTTACATATTCAAAATATATGTAACATATAAATAATATAATTAAAACATCAAATCATAATAAAGATAAGGTTTTCTTTTTAAATTGTGTTAAAGGTTATAAAGAATTCTCTGTTCCATAATTGTAAAGTTATCATAGGATTCATATCTTCTTTTTCGAGAATCTTAGTGAAAATTTTTTTATAGTTTTGAGGTTTTTTAAGCTAAGATATAAATGAACTTAAAATTAATACTACTGATAAGACTATCCCTAAATTATTTCTTTTCAATTTTATATTTTTTATGAAAAATAATCTCCTGATTTGAAATTTATTACATGTTTCACAACGGGGATATGAGTTGAGAAATTATTCACTCTTTGAATGTATAATTGACACATAAGTTTTTGTTTAGGGCATATAACTATATTATATCAATTAATCAAAGCATTAATTTTATTTTATACAAATGTGAAATATTGAATAAATAATCAGTTAAAAGATAAAATATACAACCTGATTTAGTGAAGAATTTACGAAAAAATAAAAGGTCAATAGTAAAAATATAAGAATATATGTGTTTTTATAATTTAAAAAAAATTATTATAGCGAAAAAAATATTACAGTTGATTTGAAAAAAAAAATCCTACATGATGGAGTGAATAGTATGTTTAATAAAATAATACCTATCATCGAAAAAAGCATGTTAGTTCCTATAATAAGAATAAATTAATAAAAAGAATTAATAGTAGGAAAAAATACATTTAACTCAGTGGCACATTGGAAAAGCTATATAACTAAAAACTACCAACAATGAGGGTTTTTTTAAAGTTGTTTTGGTATTTATATATATATATTTCACATTTTATTTGTGAAATATATTTAAAAACTAAAGATAATGTAAGAATTATTTATAAAAAAATTTAAAGATATTAAATAATTTTTTTAAAAATTGTGATATATTTAAGTACTTATGTTAACTGCATATAAAATGAAAAAGATAAATTACTGTAAAATTGGTTTTAAATTGAGATGAAATGATGTATAATATAAACTTTCTTAAAGTTGTTCTGGTATTTATATTTTTTTCACGTTTTCTATATGAAATATATTTAAAAGCTGAAGATAATGCAATGATTATTAATAAAAAAATATTAAAAATATTAAATAATATTTTTTAAAATTATGATAAATTTAAATACTCATGTTAACTCTAGATAAATTGAAAAAGATAAATTATTTTAAAATTAGTTTTAAATTGAGATGAGGTAATGTACATAAGAAAGAAATTTCATTAAAATTTAAATTGATTTTTGATTAAATTTTAAAATTTTAGATAATTTAATAATTTTTAAAATATATTTTTATAAATAATTTAAAATTAAAAAATATTTTATGTGTCATCATAATGAGAAGTTTTTAAAATTAAAAAATATTTAAAATTATCTTACATATAAAAAAAAAACTATTCACGTAAATATTTACGTCAATAATTATGTTTTGATAACTATATATCTTTTAATATATATATATATATATATGATTAGACATGATTTTTTAAAAAAATAAAATCATTCATTTCAAAAACTAGTATAAAGGAAAATAATACCAAAGAAATGGTTAGGGAGACAAATCATGAGAATCGATTGTGATATTTGTAACTTTTTATAGATTTAAGAAGATTTTGGGAATTTATACGGGGGAGAGTGAAAGGAGGCGCAAGGATAAAGGGTTTTATCCTAAACTAAGTTAATTGTACCTTTTTTAAAAAATTTATAATTTAATAAAATTTGTTCATATAATTTTTATTTTAACTAGACATAAGCCCGCATTTTATTGTGGAGTTATTTTTTTCATATGAAATTATTAAAATATAAAAAAAATTAATATATTATTAATAAGTAATATAAATAATTAAATATGATGTTGAATAGTTTTTTGGGCTGAATGTGGACGATCAATTATTTAAATTTTGTTATGAAAGTTAGTAACTTGGTATGGTGGGTCAAGATAATATTAAGCTTTTTTTTTATCTAAATATTTTTTATATTCGATAATTATTTTGAATTCTTATTAATTTGAAATCGAATCAAGTCGAACTTTATAAAAGGGATAAGTTCTTTAAGTATTTATCTTTTCTATTCACAAAATTTAAAATCGAGATCTTATTTAAAGAGAATCAAACTCTTTAATCATTTAGACCAACAAAAATTTGTAACTTTTTTTATTATAGTTTTTAACATTATGAGTTTAAAATTATATTAATAACCCTTCAATTATTTTTAATATTAAAGATGATTTGGTTTAAATTTGATTTTAAATTTAAAGAAAACGATAATTTTAATTGTATGTATAGATTTTAGAATAAAATTTTTTCATACAAAATTTGACAAAAAAAAAAAGAAGAGTCTCTTTCATAAAAAAAACCAAAAAAATAAAGGGGAGATACGCTATTATTATATGAAATAATCACGGCACATCAAATACATCAACTATGGGGCTAGCCACTTATCCTATATATGACCTAATGCATTGAATCATTAAGAGGGAGAAAAAGGGAAAATTATTGGACCACGAGTCACTAGCTAATTTGCTAAATTAATCTCAACTCCTTCATTAATAAAACTCAATAATTATTATTATTTTAAGATCGAAAGGTAGGCCATCTATATATATATATATGTTTAATTAGAATTTTCACATGACAAGAAAGATTTTTATACATGATCTTCACCTTTGTTTCTTAAAGTGTACCAAATTTCTTGTTCAACCCGATCCCACTATCAATTTCAATGGTTTCAATTTTCCTAAGTTATCTAATTTTCCAAGTTTTAGGAAATATATCATCTACCACAAGCAATAAAAAAAAATATTTATTTATTTATATAAATCCCATCATTCAAATGAACATGATTTTTCGATCTAAATCATATACGCATATTAATAGAAGTTTGAAAATTTTATTCAATAAAAAAAAATCTTGATATAATCTAATGAAAACAATATTCCAAAAAAATTTAGGTTTGCCATTTTAAACTTTTATATAGATCCTAAACTTGACATAATTTGTGCTTGAGATATAGGTATATATTCCTTTCCTGTTTTACTGATGAGAAAGGTGACAAGAAAGGTGACAAGGAGAATAAAAGAGGAAGAGAAATTCTTTGCATAAAGGCGTCCAGTTGAAAATGGACTAGTCCAATCAACAAGGTATCTTCATTCATTCTCCAGCGTGTAGTTTGCTTCAATGGGCAATCTCAGACAAGATTCTTTTACTTCCTTAATGCCAAAAAGGATTATTGTGCTGTCTTTTTGTCGATTTTCCAAGGCTACCTACACCATCATCTTCAACTTTCTCTATCCTTTTATTTTAAAAAATACCTTTTATTATGAGATTTGTTTTAATATTCCTTTATTTGGTAAGGATCAATGAACTCAAGCATTACCGGATTCCTCTTTGTAATCAACTTTGAAGACTCTCTCTTAAATATGTTTCAAGCCCCCTCCTAATAAGAGTTCGTCTTGCCGTCTTATGGTTTTTTATACGCGCATGTAAATGCACACATACATGTAGTAAAACTTTTACATATGCACATGCACATGCGCATATGTTAAAAATTTTATATACTTATGCACATATTTACTTACTAAAACTTTTAATCAACTTTCTTAATGAATTACTAAAATCAAGTTTATCGACAGAACATAAATGAATCAAAATCGACATGTTTCTTAAGTTTTAATATGCCATTCAATATCGTATGCTTAAGTTAATAAATGAGCTTAAACCAAACTTATTCACAAGCGATTCAATAAGCATACTTGTATGATTTTACCCCTTAAAAAGAAGAGGAAAGGACTAACAAGGAAGCTATGGAATAACATTTCTTTTCATTTCTTTTTTATTTTTTCTTCCTGCATGAGAAATTAATTGGAAGCTATGCACAGAGATTTTGCATATAACTTTGATCTCGTAATCCAAATTTTAAGTCAGCATCACTTAAAATCTGAGCTTTTAACTCCCAAACTAGCAGTCGTAATCCAGATGTTTGATGTTTGAACTTCAAACAACGGGCCGTGCAAGAATTACCAATGAAGTCTATGAACTCAAACGTGACAATTCGTATTTATATCTCGTCTATTATATTTTAATTCATGTCAACATATCAAATACAAAATGTAATCTTAATTTTTATTAAATTTATATATGATTTTTATTAAAATTTTAAAACATATTACTTTTGTATCTTTTTCATACTGTTTTCATATCATATTACCATTTCGTTTCATATTTAAAATTACGAGATCTACATGAACCCTCCTCACTTAGCATAAGATATCCCTTGCAAGCCAAATCTATGCTGTTGGTTCACACGTTTAGCATGTTTCAATGTAGGTACAAAAGAGTATCCTTCTTAAGAAACATGTAATTTGAGATGATCCAAAAGCAGCTATAAAGTACAACTAAGGTTAGAAAATTGATAGTATCAACCAGCTTCAAAACCTTTTTTATGCAGGATAAAAGCTTCAGTAAAGGTCAAATATAAAGATATAAGGAAACTGATGGTAAACTGATCATAATGATTCCTTACCCTGGTTATTTGCGAGCTTCAAATTTTTTCTGTTCTCTCGCTGTAGGAACAAGTAGAAATAATATCAGCTTCACCGGATATCGTAAATATGCTATAGGGCAGGTTTAACTCTGATTTTGGATCCAAAATCTGATGCTCATTCTCTATATGGGAAAGTTTGGAGCATTTAACTAACCAGAGAGGAAGCATCAAAAAGTGTGCATTATAATATAATGAGAATATGGGCGACAGGAACCATACCAACCTTCTCTTCTCTCTTCTTAGCAGCATCTGCCCTTTGTTGCCTTATCAGGGCTAAGCGCTCTGTGATAGAAATTAATTCAAAATCAGTAAAACGATATAATAATTGTACAGGGAGAGGGGAGTATATTTATTTACAATAAATAAATAAAAAAAAATCACTGCAATCATCAGGGAATACTCAAGATGAAAGAACACAGGAACAAGGGAGAAAAAGAAAACAAAAGAGTTCAGCAATTCGTCAAGTGCATAGCAGTGTCTATGAGACGTCAAGGTGATACCTTGATATTACACTAACATACTCAGTTGATAGGGAGTTTGTGACCACCAAATGGAAGAAACCAACTCAGTTGTGTTGTACACTAAACCAACATTATTCATCTCTTAACCTCTTCATTCTCAACAGCTCATGAAAGACTAATCAACTTGCTAAGTGGTAAAGGAAATATGCACCTAACATACAAGAGACTTTCCATCCTCGGTTTTTGTTTTGGCACAGCTTTCTATCATCATTAACAAAACATAATAGTTATACACAATTTAATACCTCGGAATATAACACTTATGGCAGGAGGAAAACAGTTTTAAAAAATCTGAGGAAATATCTTATATGTCTTTACACACGCGTTTCCCATAAATTCCTACCACATTTTAAAACCTCACATGTATAGTCTGCTAAGACAGCTACTGCATGCAATCAAATAGCAGTCTTTCATCAGCACCTCAACACCCAGATAACATTTGTAACCATTTAGGTCCATGGACAATGATTTTATAACAATGCTTAGACAAATCCAATTATCATTATTCATTTCTATCACACTTATATGGAGGATTGTTAATGTGCAACGTAAAGTACTACTCCCTATAATGAATCAAAAGGAGATAATATCATTATTTTCATCTCCCTTCCTCAGCACCTAGTCAACGAACATAATTTCAACCTTAGCTGTACATCTCCAAATTCAATTAACCATAAAGAAGCAAAAGAGTCTCACAGAGAGGATAGAAAAAGCCATGTTGAGTATAATAATATTTGCCAGGACTATCAGAAGTCCTTGGTAACTTAAACACTCAATTTAAGTTTTCATTACAGTATAAACCTGATAAAGGGGGACAAATATTGTTAATCATATTGTTGTCCACTAGTTACCTAAATCTTTTCTTGCTTGCTTAGTTTTCCCTTGTTCCTGCAACTTCATATATCGTTCATGTGCTTTTTGCTTTTCTATCTCCTCACTGCAGTCATAAATGGTAAAATAAGAGCACAATCCAAGCTGGTCTCAAAGGAAAGAATCAGCTCGACTATAGAATTACATGCTTAGTTTATCAACCACTGTTGCAAACAAAAATTGCATAATAAGAAATATATAGCTTCAATATACATAGTTTCAACTTTGGAGTAACAAATTTTAATCCCCACTGTTGGTAGAGTTACTGAGAAGGATTTAGGCATTTCATATCCACATCATATATCTTGTTGGTTGTAGAAGTTCTTTCTCTTACCAAAATAGAAATCAAATTTAATGTCCAAAAGCCTACTACCATTTCACCCTCAAAGTTATCCCAAAAACACAACTTAGCTAACCAAAAGCACTCTTATGTTATATTAATTTTAGATTCAACAGAAGGAGAAAGAGTTACAGTGCTTTATCAAACTAACACTGGACTAACAATGAGAAATATTTAACCATAAATGAACCAATAATGAGAATAGTAAAATATTATTTTTTTTGTAAGGTATAACAGAAAAAATAATACTTAAGCAAAACGGCAATTGTTAAGAACTATTAAATTATTTAAGAATAAAAAATTGCCCAGATGCACATGATTAAGCAGTGATCAGTCACATTTGATGAAGAAAGAGAATTACATACCTTTCACGCCTTGATAGTTCAGTCTTTTTTCCCCATCTGGAACATAAAATTTCAATTACTCAATACAATTACAAATTCATATATCTATTTATGATTAATACAGACTTTGTGCAGCAGAGGAGTATTTGTAGAACTTACATCAACATCTTTAGCTTTGACATTCTTTTGTTTAGCCAAATTTGGATTCTCAATCTCAATAAGCCCCTGGGTTCATTTTCGTTTCTGCCATATTAGCACCAATATCAAATATGAAGTATAAAAGGTAAATAAGACACTAAGAACTTATTGCAATCGGAACCAATGTCCTTTGCATTAGACAAAAAAAGTGCATAAAATAATGACCTCAGGCTCTTCTTCTACTTCCTCCTAGGGGTGTAATTGAGCCGAGTTGAGATGATACAGTGAAAAGCTCGAACTCAACTCCGAACTCACGACTCGATACTCAGCTCGAACTTGATCGAGTTTTATTTTCCTAGCTCGAGCTCGATTCGTGATTGAAATCGAGCTACTCGAACTTGCTCGATTAAACTCGATTAATGTGTAAAAATAAGCTTGATTTTTATACTCGACAAAAGCTCAATTATTTGTGCTCGAACTAGAGTTCGAGATCTTTTACAACTATTTTTTATCAAACCTAATAAATATTATATTTTCAAGATAATAACAATAATAATAACAATAATAATGTACACAACAACCAAATCCAAGCAAATAAAAGTCTCATCAAGTGATTTAAATACAATACACAAATAAAAGACATAATGAAACTTAGAAATTAAAGTCCTAATTGAAAGAAATTAAATATCCAAACAAATAAGTTCACAAATAAATTACAACAAACCAACAACAATATATATGCTGCTTTCACAATATTATGTCTTCAAATGAACATTGGGCCCATATTGTTTTTCAACAAACCTACACAAAAGAATAATTGCAAAACAAACAAATTATAATTAACAATAAGAATAATAATAGAAGCACTCGTGTAAAAAAAAGATTGTAATATTATTACAATGATCAATAATTTTAAATTTTTAACATTAGTATAAATAAGGATTGTATCTTGTCAATTGTCTTATAATCAAAGCAAAAAAATATAGACAGTGTTTTGTCAGTTGCCTTAACATAAGTTTCTGTCATTAGTTAACCTATGGTTCGTAAACTATAATGCAAAAAGCTCAATCTAGACTAACTACTATCTATATTCTTTAGTATTGTTGTGACAAATTAAAGGTATTTAATAATAATATTTTATACCTGTATAGAAGACACTAGATATCCTCACTTTAGGGGATTTTGAGTGCAATTTCAATTGATTTCTTCTCTTTTTATATAGATAAAATAAAGAAAAATAATAATTAAAAATTAGATTAAAGCAATGATAATCACTCAATAACAAAATAATAAAAAAAAAAACTCACTTTGTTCTTCTTTTTCACTCTATAAAGATTCCGACACCAATCTCCTCCACAAAGTAATGCTTGCACTGTGTCAGGAGCTAAAGAAGCATGATAAGTATTAATAACTCTACCTCCCGCACTAAAGGTAGCCTCTGAAGCCACTATAGTGATAGGAATAACAAGTATATCCTGAGCCATCTTGGATAAAATACGATACTTAGAAGTGCTCACTTTCTACCATTCAAAAGCATCAAACTTAGTGGAATCTCCTTTATAGATAAAGCAACCCTCGGCTAGGTAGACATCTAAATCAAATGTTGTGGTTGAGCAGTTTCAATTGATTTTACATAATTTGCAAATTCAAACCAACCAGAAGAAGAAGCTTCTATATTCATATCACTAATATCACTATCATGCACTTAAGTTTCAGCACTATGCTCATTGTCAAATTGATAATTACAAACATATTCCTCATAAATCTCATAAAGAACATCTCGAACTCTAGCAATATTTTCTCTTGCTTCTCTATCAGAGTACATTCGCGGAAAGCAAAACTCAACCACCCTCATTTTGCACATTGGATCCAAGATAGTTGCTATAACCATTAACAAATTACATTCTTCCCAATACTTATCAAATTTACTCTTCATCTTGCAAACCATTGCTTGAACAAAGTCATTTTCATCATTCATCCTTTTATCCAACAAGACTTTCACACGATAAACTTCATTTAGAAATAAGTTTGAAGTTGAATAGTCACTTCCAGAGATGATTTTAGTGACAGTATTAAAAACTTTTAAAATCTCACAAACTTTCTCCATGTTTTCCCAATCTTCATGACTTGGACAACATTCGTAATGAGATTCTCGTTCTTTGAGTCTTGAAAATACTTCTTTAAATTTGATTGCAATCGACAACATCTTGAATGTTGAATTCCAACATGTTTTACAATCGAGAATGAGTTTCCTATCAAGCAACTGTAATTGCTATACTATCTCAGAAAATGAGTTAAGTCTTGCTTCATTCTGATTAATAAAATTGACACTTTCATGAACATCACCAATCACATTCTTAATATCAGAAAGACCATCTTGAGCCATGAGATTTAAGATGTGTGCACAACACCGAACATGAAATAGTTTTCCTCCACAAAGCAACCTTCTATTTCTTGAAAAAGTATCTTTAAGAATTCTAATTGCCACATCATTGCTTAACGCATTGTCCACAGAAAGTGTAAACACTTTGTTTTCAATTCCCCATTCCTTTAGACACTTAAAAATGCAATCAGCAATCTCAACACTGCGACGAGGAGGAGGTATGTGAACAAAGTTAATAACGTGCTTTTGCAATCTCCAATTAGAATCTATAAAGTGTGCTGTAAGAACCATGTACTCAATATTTTGATTACTTAACTTCCAAAAATCTGTTGTCAAACTAATCTTGTTGACAGTCTTCAATAGTGCCTTTAATTTCTTCTTTTCTGCTTCATAAACTTGCATGCAATCCTTTTTAATAGTATTGCATAATATCTTTTCCCATTCAGGCATCCCACGTTTTTGCACCATATTAAAACCTTCCTCTTCCATAATCGAAAAAGGATACTCGTGCATAAGTATCCAATGTGCAGCTGCCTCTCTCATCTTTGCCATATCAAACTTGCCGTCTATGAGAGTAGGTAGTATCTGTACATCACCACATGTGTCTACTGGCTGGAAGTTGATCATTTGTTCTTGATTCTGAAAATTTTTTGCTTAACACAAGTTATCAAGTGCTTTTCAAATTGAGTTGTATTTTTACTTGCATTTATTGCTAGCTTCTTCTTGCAATGGACACACTTTCCTTTTTTACAATCATCAGGAAGACTAACCTCTTTGAACTCCAACCAAACAGCAGATGTCTTTTGCCTCTTTTTCTCATTACCTTCCTCACACTCTTCAGGGTTAGCATCATCACATTCTCTATCATTGGCATCAGTCACTGGTGTTTTATTTGAGCTACCATCAGTGGCATCTAAAGTTTCATTCATTGAATCATTATCATCATCTGACACAATTTGGCTAGCAAAAGAATTTGTTGTCGGCTGAAATGGTGCAGAAGAGATATCTAGTGTGGTTGATGACATGTTTAGTTCTCTATAACAAAAAAAAAAAAAAAGACAAATCAAAACAATAATTCAATTTTGGGATCAAACAATAATGCCAAACAAGTTGTTAGAGACATGCGGTAAATTCTTTTGCGAGAAGCATGCCAAACAAGTTGCTAGAAACAAGTTATTAGAAGAGTATGGAATTTAGCATTAAATGATAACGATCTATGGGAATTGCAAGCAATATACATAGTCTTTGCTAGATATGACAATTGATCAAGGACTAAAATGCAGTGGGGTGGTAGTAACTATGTAAATAAATAAAATCTAAATTGATCCTACACATGTAGTAACTAAAACAATAAATTAGAATTTGTGCTGACACAATAGGCAAATAGAGTTATAACCTTTTACATTTTTAATGGAGGTGATAAACTTTTAGGACTTTGGTTTTGTACCAATTTGATTTTTATCTTGTTTACATTTTGTTGATATGATGCCTTAATTGTTCAGAATCGAAATATGACTCTAGCTTGTTATTTAGTTGAGAAAATATCATATACTACAAATTGTTTAAAGTAGTTAATGTGTTTCTTCATAGTTCATTGTATTTTTCTTCAATTATAATCTACTGGAAATGTTTTTATTTTTTATTAATTATTTACTCAGGTAAAAAGAGAAAAAGTTACATATTTTGGGAAACAAACTTCTCAAGTTTAATGGCTGGATGTGCTTCACCATTTCTATGTCACAAACACTAAAAAGAAAGATATGAAAAAGATCTCACCAAACTCATTTATACAAATTTATAAACAATGTCAACATAAGTCGAGCATTTGTGTTAAAATGTATAAATATTAAAAAAAAAAAATAGAAAAATAGAGAGGGGGAAAACAAAGGGCACGAACCAATGAGGTTCTCTGCACTTTCTTCGACATGCAGCATTGGGCACAGCCTGAAACTGTTTCATTTTTACTCTGATTATCATTATTATAACTTAGTCACTCAGTTCATGGTGCACAGCCACCCAAAATTACAAAGTCTTTTCATAAATCTTCATTTTGAGAAAAGAAACCATATCTTATTTTAATTTCTGAATCAAACCAAGGAAAGGATCTTTGGGATGATGATTGTCCCTTACCTCGTTTGGGCAGAAGCTGTGTTTCTTTTTTAAAGTATTCCCCGGTCAAAGTGCAGAGTCTGGGATGATGAAGTCACTAATGAAAGCAGCAGTTAGAGCAGCGGGGGTAGCAGATCTGATCAGTCTCGTGATGAAGAGAAGTCAGCCAATGACATACAATTACCATTCCCACACTAAGAGATAATAAAAGATGGGGAAATTATTTTATGCTCGCATTCCTACATACACTCATAAAAGATTTTCTTTCACTCAATCATTCTATACATAGAAAATCATGTATGCCTTCTTTGAATCTAATGTGAGTTAATAGTATTGACTTTCATGAATCATTCTATTAATTTAACTAAACTAGGAGATGAAAAAGCATATAATACTATCATTCAAAATTTGAAAACTAGCACCCTTATTCACCATCTTTTACTGCTCATTGAACTGATATTCAACTATTACTAATTAGACTTAGAATCAAGCATCATCCTGATGATAATTGTTAATAATAAAAGATCTAAGCTAAAAAGATACTAGAATGCAAATTCACTGTCTATGGAAACATCTGACATAAGTAAATAAGAATGAAACTTTTCTAGTTCAGGATTACAGATAATAGTAAAGGTGTACCAGGTGCTCAAACTTAAATAGACAACTTGAAACCAAAAGATTCAAACAAAAGATGCAAATGACAATCGATGGCTAGTCTAGGAGTAAATCTAACATGTGATTTCAATT